CTGGCGGCAGCCCTCTGGGCTCCCCTCTGCTCCCGCAGCCCCAAGGGCCGCAGGAAGCGGCGCCTTCTGGTTGCCGGCTCCTTGCTGGGCTCGGCGGGGGCCAGCCTGCTGCTCACCCTCATTCCCGCCGCCGGTGGGGACGCGGGGTACACGTACTGTAACGCCAGCCAGCAGCTGGGTAATCGAGGGGCCGCCGCCATGGGACCCGCTCCGGGCGTGAGCAGCCACAGTGTTTTAAGCACGAGTGCTATTACGAGTGCAAAAGCTGTGTCGAAAGAAATGGTGAAAACGACTGCTGATGTTTTAATGGCGAGCAGAAAACCAACGCTAACCAGTGCAGCTTTCCAGGGTTTATTTGGCCTGGCAGATACGCATGAGAAAAAAGGCAAAGGGATTGGTAAAAGTGATACAAAGACAAGTGGCTACTCTCATGGTCCCTCTGGCTGGACAACTTCCATGAAAGCAGTTAACTGGGAGACAGGAGAACCAGAAATGCCGGCTCCCTACAGACCTCCCTTACATGGACTTGAGAAGGAAATGAGCAGTCTGGGTTCTGCTGTGATAGATCTTGCTGATAATGCTGAAGAAAGCCTTTACGCTACTGAAAGTACTGAGCTCTCTATGTTTAAAACAACTCTTCCTACCATTGGAGGTGCTTACGTGTCTGGAAACCTTTCAGACCACTGGAAAGATGCTCAGGATGTCAGCTTCAAGGCAGTGAAAAACATCTTTCAGGACAGAGAGCATCAGATTTTTCTTATGGTACTGGGTGCTGTCGTGCTTTGGGAGCTGTTGGCTACTTCTCTCGAATGGACAGTGGATGAGAATCTCTATGAATATCTTGACTTCATTGACTCGACTGACAGATATGGCAAGCTGTGGATTTGGAGTTACCTGGGTGCATCTGTAGGTGCCTGTGGCATTGCTGTATTTGTGGATCAACTGAATTGCTTCCTCAGCAGCACAATCACGCGCCTTGCTGTCCATTTCTATGGCTATGCTCTCCTGATAATGCTCTCGTTGCTTGTCAGTGTCTTTTTTCCCATCCACGTTCCCCAAAAAAATGACTGTGTTAACAAAACCACCAAAGCCCTGTCCCTCCTGTGGAGTGACGGCCGAGCAATCCTGTACGCCATCACCGTCTTCCTCACCGGTGCTGCTGGGTCTGCGGTGCACAACTTTCTCTTCTGGCAGATGCAGGACCGAGGCAGCAGTGAGCTGTACATGGGGCTGTCTGTGGCCGTTGGGCTACTTTCTGAAATTTTACTGTATTTCTTCAAAGGGAAGTTGCTGAGGACTTTCTCGAGGAGCAAAATCATTGCAGTCAGTCTAAGCCTCCTGGCAGTACAGCTTCTGTGCTACTCTTTCTTGTGGACTGCGTGGTCAGTTCTGCTCATCCAGATTTTATCTGCCTTCAGCAATGGTGCTTTGTGGTGGGTGGTTAACATGACAGTGGATGACATAGCCACCCCAGGCATGGAGAGGTCCCTGCACGCTGTTCTCCAGGGCCTCTGCTACGGTGGAGGAGCAAGCCTGGGCAGTTTTGCAGGGGGTTTTGTTGTGAAGCACTTTGGCCTGGCAGTTTTGTACAGGGCATGCTGCGTGTGCCTGGTGCTGTGGCTCCTCGTGCTCTTAATAGTCCAGTCTAAATTGCCACGGCAGAAAAGAATTAATTATTCTCGTCTCCTGGCTGCCGATTCCAGCGATATGAGTGACTCTGATGAGGAGAACGAGAGGGACTGGCTGGTAAAAGCTATGAAGGATGAAAGCTTTAATAGGAGTTGGTCACAAAAGCATGGGATCAGCTAATGTGTTCTTGAATGTAGGGGTCGAGTGGTAATGGGATATGATGATGATGCCCAGAAATGACTGTTAATTCTGAAGTGCTAAATATATCTGACAGGACAGATTTTTATTAAAAAAATATATAAATCTTTTTATTTTCTTAATTTGTAGTGTTCTTGTGGTAATTTTTCATTTTTAACTTAATGATTTTGCTTCCGAAATCATAACAAGGTGTTTCAGGTATATATTTACTGAAATGAATGGAGCTAAGTTTTTAGTCAAAAAGCAAACTTGCATTCTTGCTCCCCAGAGCTGATGCTGTGGAAACTGGGAGCGAAAGCTGTGGCCTGTACTTTGACATGATTGAATGAAAACTATTGTAATGCTAACAGCACACTAAACTTTTTCAAGGTGCTATGTCTGTGAACTCCTTTCGCTGAATAAGGGATGTGAATAAAAAAATGGTTCATTTGCTCTGCTTTGATTTGTAAAATCAGGTTTTGCTATGGACTGTCTATCTTCTTATGTTTGGGGATTTAAGCATGCTTCTGCATCAGTGTCTCTTGGGAAAAACCTACCACGTCTGCTTGTAGTCAGTGCCTGCCAGCTGGCCAAAGGGAGCGGAGCAGCCTGTCCACTTCCTGGTGTTTATGTACCTAAGGTGGCATTCGGGCTGACCAGGAAGCAGTCTGCCTTCCTGGATTGAGTAACTTCTGTGGGCTGGGAGTTAACTTTGGGGGGATATTCATGGGACACGATTTCAGAAGGACTTTGGAGCTCACTGAGTAGATCTGGTTGAAGCTGGTGATCCTCCTCTGGTCAGTTTAGCCTGAGGGCAGCCCTCTTCTTGCATTTTCTATTTAGAACTAAATCTGTGTCCTGAACAGGGCCTGCTAAATCCAGAAGGATCTTCAAGCTGCCTTATCTGCCTTGCCTTAACCTCAAAAACACACAGATTTCAATGCCTCTTCAATAGGTGAGATTTGCCTACAAATGAAAAATTGGTGGTCTGATCTCATTAAAGGATCAGTGTCAGACCTTAAACAGGGCTGGTGGAGATGCTTTGAGCCAGTCCCTTCAGCTGCCATCAAAGCCGTTGTCCGTTTATTTGGTACTTCCTTGGTCAAGGAACTACATCATTCCATTACAGAGGGATGGATTTTAGTAACACCTTCCTAGTGTTTTACAAGCCATGAGAAGGGCAGCTGCAAAAAGCAGACTATTTCTTTAAATGCATATTTAATATGTAGTATGCAAGTGGCATTGCAGTCTGTCACCCCGCTGCGTTCTGGACTCAGTTGAAGTGGTTGGAGACAAGGAAAAAGCAATGCTGTTGAAGGTAATCTCTTTCTCTGTATGCATCGATTCCAGATTATCTGTGCATCACATGCTTGCAGGGCAATTAGCTCTCTGTTTTCCTGGCACAAATCACTATGCCATGCAGAATACTCTACCATAATGACTCTATAGATAGAATTATCCACGTGCCTAGAATAGTTGGAACTTTTTATTAAGATCTTACTTCTCCCAGGAATTCAAACTCAAGTTGAGAACAATTTCAGTGTCAAGAATTTATCCCAGTCTTATTATCATATAATACCTCAGGAGCTCTAATGAGTTGTTAATAGAATATCTGACTTCAGTCTTGAGTAACATAACTGCAAGCCGCACATCATAGAGCCATGGGTGCTTTTGTGAGGTGAATGCTGCAGAAATAGCTGGAACGGTTTAAAATGCGGTTGCTTCTTCAGCTGTAAGTGACTGCCCTTATTTGAAGCCAATGAATCAGGTGATACGTGCTCTTTTTATCTGCTTCAGCACAAAACCAGCTGCTGGAGTTCCAGTTTTGCAGAGAGAAGCCTTGAAACGAAAAGTGTTTGTGCAATCCGTGTTGCTGCCACGGCGGAGGGGTGGTAACGGCGGCCGGGGCTCCCCCGGGCTCTTGCCTCCCTGGTCGTTTTGGCCATGGATGCTTAGATGTGCTCAGACGCTGCTGCTATGAACAGGGAGGATTTAAGGGATGTCCCACAGCTTAACCTCAGTGTAATAATCTTATATATTAAGGTATTTTAAAAAAATTATTAATGCAATAAGCACATTTCATGCTGATTCAGGGGAGAATCATATTTATACCGTTTGAAATATGTCTTGAATTACAAACCACTGTGGAAGTGGATGTAGCAGAGGGCTCATTTGCTGAAGAAATTGCAGCAACCTGGCTAAATAATTTTCCACTGGGGTTCATGCAGTTTCTGTGTGTGAGCTCTGCAACACTGGTGACTCAATTTCTTCTTCTCTGATGGTCACAGGCCCTGCAAACCAAAAGGGGGAGGTGGACTTAAATTTTTCTGTATGAGACTTTTTTTGCTCTGAGCATGGCTTTATTTTTCTTGTAGAAGTAAGAACATGATAAGGCATTTAATGCTGTTGAAAATAAGATGTAACCGAGAAGAACCAAACTGCCTTTGGGGAAAATAGATTCTCATAGTGTATTTCCAACCACATCAGTGGTTATTTTTGCATTACATTACTTACAACTATTTGCCAAAAAATAGGTGTTAAAACTTCTGTTTCTTTAAATTTTTATTCTTAAACAGCAATTGTAAGGTGAAAAGTGATTAAGTCACGTAAGATTTTACTGTTTACCTACTTCATGGTGAACTTAAAACACATATCAGGCGCTTATATGTAGAAATACTTTTTTTTTTTTTCCCCTTGGTATCAGTCCATGCTCTAAGTTGAGCTGTGTCCTTCTCTGAATACAATATGATTTAACTGAGCTCAGGAGGAAAACCACAGTGTTGAGGAACATGTTCTGCACAATCACAGTCTTTGTAGATCTTAGATTTTAAATTTTGCATAGCTCAGTGTATGTGTACTTTGTGAGAGGTTCCAAATGATCTGAGTAAATCAGTTTTATTAGATGAGACATCACTTGCCAAAAAATGACGAAGACTTCTTTGCTTATCGTGAAACAACTTACAGACCCTGCAGGTAGTTTCGCTCTACAGCTGATGTAGCTGAACTGGAATCAGAGCAACTCATTGCACCAGACACTTTACCTTGCCTTTTTTAATTTTGTTCCCAAATTATAAGGAACCTACTGCAGATTCCATCTTTCTGGCAGTTATGATGGGATATTGCAAATATTTCCTTCAGCTCCTTGCTGTGTGCACCTCACATCTGCAATTGACTTAAACAGTGTGAAACTTTCAGAGTATGGCATTAGGTAAAACTGATCTCTAAATGTTCATTTTTCTTGTGGATCTGATCAGCATAGTAAGATCCTGTCCAGTGTTCTCCAAAGGTGTCTATAATTCAGCAAACTATCGCTGCATGTTTCTTTGTGGACTGTAGTGAAATTTGCTTGGATGAATTCACAGAGAAGTTTTTGTATTTTTGTAATGAGCTGTTTCCCAAAATCAGAGATGTGGCCCATTTAAGGTAAGTCCATTTAGCTGTAGTTTCACAAGAACAGGAGAGTGATGTTTTTGAGAGCTGTGGAGGTATTCTGCATGTTCTGAACCTTAAAAGTGAGAGCTCTTGAATTGTCTTTTCTTCTGTGACGGGCATGATGCTTCTCAGGCATGATCTGTGCTTGTAAAAGTGTTTCTCATTTCGTTCATCTTTAAAATACAGACAAGATGTTACCAGTCTGATTTGAACTCTTAGGTGAATTATGGTTTCAGCATGATACTGAAATTCTGTGCCCTTATAATATGGGTCCCATATAGACTCTTAAAAGTATTGGGCAGCTCCTGAGCATTACTGGCATGAGCACTAAGTAGTAGTAATGTAGGGGGAAAAAAAGAGGCTATCTTGAAATATCCTGACACTCTCAGCTTGGCATCTGTATTGCTGTGTTTATCAAGAGAGAGCCAATATAAAGGAATCTCTGCTAATTTAGACTGTACGTTTCTCCGGGAACAGATAAATTATTTTCTGCTTCATTTCTCCCTGGAGCCTGGTTTTGCTGTAATATAAAATGACTTTTCTGGCCAAGGGCAATTTTTTACTTTAAATTGGGTATGTTGATACCATAAAACTGTGAACCCAAATGTAGAGGTGAGTATGAGGCAACCTTAAAATTAACCTTTGCTTCACCTTTAATATTTAGAAATCTTGCCTGAAGAAATCAAGGAAGAGAAAACATAGTTACCTTATCACGACCTCACCAGTACAGCGGACAAGGAAGTTGTTGGTGATATGGCTTCGTTTTTGAAACTGAGAACATTTCTTCCTCTAATCAGGTTGAAAGGTCAGAACTATGGAGGTAGTTACAACACTGAAAATAGCAGGCTTGTGTTAACAAGGGTTTTTATTGTTAGTAAAAGGAATTTTGAGCCAGGAAACACAATCACACGCTGAAATAATTTTAATATTTAAAGCATGAATTGACAAAGATGAACCTGATTTTTTGACAAATCCTAAGGAAAATAAACTTATTTAATGACTTCAAACCAGTTATTCCGATGAGACATGTACGTGCCTCTGCGGGAATAGGCATTCAGGTCCTTGGGACCACAGTCCTTTGTCAACAAGTGACAAATTAAAATACTCAGCTTCCTTCTATCATCAAGATGCGCCTGATTGAGTTGGCAGTGAAAGGCCCTTGGAGCATCGCCTTGGAAGTGTTTTTGAAGACTCAGAATTTGTTGAATGTGCCTTAGTGGTATCTGTTGTTTGCTGTTGCCTACTCAGGTTGTTTCTTTAAAAAGGTTCAAATGACGGTGTCCATCCTGATGTTCTACAAGCTGCATTTTAATTCTTTTTGTACTTGTCAGCACCATCCTGACCAAGTACCATTGCTTGGAACTGGATGATGTTCTGTTTATAAGCTTATAATGTATGTGTACTTCCTGTTGCGTGGGTGCTTGATTTCTACAGAAGTGACTGTATATAGGGAAATACTAGCGCTTTTAAGAAATATTTTGCTGGTGCCCTGAAAGTGTTGCTGCTAGTGACTCTCCTCTCATGTAGACCAAGGTGAAATTTGTCTCAAGACCCATTAAAACTCCTCAGCT